GGGAGAGGGAGAAGCAGGCTTCCCACTGAGCAGGGAGCCTGATGTGGGACTCGATCCCAGGACTCTGGGATCATAACCTGAGCCGAAGGCAGACGCTTAACGACTGAGCCACCCAGGTGCCCTGGGAGGCAATTCTGTCTACCACAAAAACACTAGATTTCGGAGAATTCATACTACAGTAAATTCCTACCTAGCCTTTAAATAAATGTAGAGAAGCGTGTTCACAGAGTAGTAATTATCTTTGATAATTATGGTCCAAATACAGTAACTTTTTTTTCTACAATCAGGGAATCTTACACCTGTGTCATTAGATGTGACCAGCATGGAATACTTTTGAAATATGTAAATCAAATGTGAACACTGGCAAAGAACTCATAAATGCCCTAAAGGAACATGAGCTTTATGTGCTGCAAATGCTGCCAAATGTATTTGTATCTATTCTGAAATTGTATAAATGAACATATCCTATTGAGTATAGAATGCATATTCCATAATGCACCTAAGTAACAGAATTCTTCACAGCCAATTCCAACAACCTTTTTTCTTTAACAGTAAATGTTTAATGTATATACTCTCATTAAATAACCAAAAAAACCCAGACAAAATATATGAATGGCCTGTTTTCAGACATTGGGTAATAGGGAGATGAGCACAGCTAACTCGAGAGAAAGGAAACAAATGAAGGGAGCCTTATGACTACCTCCAGCTTACAGCCTGGAGAGAGTTTCCATTCTGTAGCATAGGGAGAGGGAATCCAATCAAATCCTGGCAGTCTCTCCAAACTGAGGCAGAGTTTAGGGTTTGGAGAATTCAAGGTGGCTCAAATTTATGGGGCAGGTTACAGGAGAGGAGAGAGCTGCACCCAGAATGAGCACATTCCTCCACATGATTTGAAGTGATCAGCACATATATGTGAAGAAGCTCCCTGGGCTGGAGAAAGAACCACTGGAAAGGAACAGGCAGAACCATCCTTGGAATTTGCACAGGTTGGGAATAATTTGTTTCCACCAGTTGGAATGGAAACCCCTCCCAACATTTGGAAAATCAAAGTGGATCTTCAGAAAAATAGTGCTTCAGTGGGGGGGGAGGGGTTGTCGCTCAAATTGACTCTAGAGTAACAGCTACTCTGAACCTTCCTGACAAAGCATAAATGTGAATTTGGTAGATTAACTCATAAGTTTTAGTAGTTTTCTGTAGGCTTTCTTGGGTTTTCTTTATACACAATCCTGTTGTCTGCAAATAGGAACAGTATTCTTTTCTGATCTTTAAGCCTATTATTTTTCTTGTCTTATTGCACTGTGAGGTTCTCTGGTATGATGGGTGGACAGTTTGTCTCATTCTCAGTCCTAAGGGAAAAGTGCATTTTGCACATGGAATGGTGAAATTTGGTGCCTCAAAGCTATTATAAAACCAAACTGTTCCCAAGTAGTTTAACTGCTTCCCAAGAAGTTTAACTTTAAGCCCAGTAGTATTTAAAGAATAGAAAGCCATCCATCAACCAAGAAAACCAACAGTGTCAAAATCACAATGTCTGGCATCTAGTCAAAACCTACCCAGGTATGCAAAAGCAAAACAGGAAATTAGGATCTATAAACATGAAGAAAAGTCAATAGAGACCCAAAATTGACATGGGTGACAGAATTAACCGAAAATGATGTTAAAAACAGCTATTATAAATATTCTGTGTACTTAAGGTTGTATCAAATGGATTATAAAAATTACTGTGGGGTTTCTCTCCACGTGAGCAAAGGGGTAGATGAGGCCAGTCTAGTCACTAGAGCCCCCACCCCCAGGTTGTTCAGCCTCCCAGGAAGAGGTCAGAAGGAGGTAAATTCCATCAGTGAGGACCAGGTCCCATGAGGAGGAGACCCAAGCCCAGCTGAAGTTGGGGAGTGTAGTTTGGTCTCTGTCTAATCCCTCTTTGGTTTTTCTGGGAACTGAGGTATCTGTGCTGAGCCACAGATTTCTGGGAGGTGCAGTTCGGGATACATTGTCTTCCTAGTTAGTGGCTAGTGCTTCTTGGCCATTTGGCTGCCACAGGGGTTCTGGAACATGCCTTTGTCAGTTTTTCTTCACATGAGAATTCTGCCTGGATTCAAGTGGCTATTGAAGAGGGTGCCTGTCAGACCCTATCAGAGATGTCTGGGACTTCTATATACAGCATGTGAGGGAACTGGCTTTCCACGGGTCAATTCCAACCTCATCCTGTGACTCAGCTTGGACAGAGTCAGATCTTGGCAGGTCTGTCCTGCTGTATGGCTGGGGCAGGAGATGGCTCTACAGAGCTCCTTTGTTGTGTGGGAGGCATTTGTCCTCATTCCTCCTGCTCTAGGAGGCTAGATGGACACAGGGTCCTTGGGAGGGGAATTTGATTGTGGGTCCTACTGAACCTTACTTTGCCCCTTATCCCATCCCTTCCCCTCCCGGTCTCCAGGAAAAACTTTGGGTGTTCGTGTGTTCTATGGGGTGTCTTGTCCTGGCCTCCTCTTTTTGTCATCACGAACAGAGAACTTCTAGAACAATGTCTGCCATGCAGTGCCTTGAAGACTAAGCAGGCAACTTTGAAATAATATTGTTATGAATGGGAAGATGATTTCAGCAGAAAGAAATTCGATTTACATACTTTAGAACCTACAACACAATCTCTACAGATTTACAGATTCCACCTACTTCATCTTGCTTTCCAGTCTAGAATTTGGGTCTCTAGATTTTAGAACCTGCCAGACCTCAGAGAAGAAGTCTAGAATCAGCTACCCCACAACAAGTTGCCTAGTGCTGGTTCTGTATAGGGGAGCAGTTACTCCAGGTTTGGCTTTCTCTGTATTTGTATCTGTGTATTAGGGGTGAAGGTAGAAGACTAGAAATTCCTAGTTGGTGTGTGGACTGATTAATCTGCTCTCTGAGGACTCCATTTTCTAACCCCAGCTTTGTGATTTTAAGAATTCATCCTTCGTGGGGCACCTGGGTGGCTCAGTCAGTTGAGAATCCAACTCTTGATTT